AAACACCGGGAGGGGCGGCTTGTTTTACAACGTCGTTGCCAAGCGACGAAAACCCAACCCCGATGGCAAAACACCGGGGGGCGGGGGCGGATGGTAGATAATGAAGGAATTTCTATCCGACATATGTCGCGCCACTCGGTCCGCCCCTTCTCGGCTCTTTTCTTCCAGCGATGTTTCGTCTTCTTTAGCCATGCCGTTGCTTCCTGCCGCGTCCGAACTATTTGTTGGTTCGGTGTCTCGTTTGACTGCCTGTTGTCGACTAACCCCCTTTTCGTCCTTCTGCCAGGAGTTCATGAGCTCCTCAGCTCCCTCGAGCACTGCCATCCTCCACGGGAATCTTCCCTTGTCCTTCGCTGCTTCAGTCCGACATGGCTTTGCGACTCCGAAAGCAAATCACTCGTCGTCAGTACAGCCAGCCGTGCGTGGCCCGGAACGCGTTGAAATCATTCTTCCTTTAGGCACGTATGCCAGCTTCGCTCCGGGCATATCCTGCCCGGACCCTCTCTCCAAACCAACTCGCCGAACATCAGCCCTTCTTGCAGCCGCCTGCCAGACTGCCTTGCCAAGGCCCCCGCGAATAGCAGGCGCCGCTGTCCAGACAGTGGCTTGCACGCTCTCACACCCTACCCTCTTCAGGATCTGGGCGTACCCAACCCTCATCAGGTATGGGTACCCGACGACCCGCAGAAGCAGCCGGTGGTGTATCGCCCGCAGCAGCCGGTAGCGGTGGCGGCGAGGGGCCCATGTCATGCACCCGTGCAGCAGCGCCTCCATCGCCTCCGCCTCCAGAAGGCGCATCTTGTGTGGCACGGGTGCTTCCGGCCTGGCGAACAACTCCCGAGCATATCTTCTTATGCGCTCCCGCGCTGCTCTGTTTCTGCAGCTGATCCCCCGGGTTAAATTGCCATCTTCGTTGACAAGGCCACCCAGGTATCGGAACTTGGTCGTCTGGACGTACCTCCCCGCTGCTTCATCACGCAAATCGGGAGGGTCTCCGTCTTTTCCTTTGATACCGTCAGCCCGAACTCTCCAACGCCTACACGATAGCGGTCACCACCCTTACCAGCCCCTTCGCAGACTTCGAAACAGCACCGGTGTTCACCGGTATATACTCGAGTCCTGTCGCCGCCTCCAGTCCCGTCTCTTTCACTAGGTGCACGAAGGTCTGCTTGTGATTGCTTTAGTGGGCGACAAGGCGCAGTCACGCCAAACGTGAGATTTGTCGCTGTGGAAGCCATGTGATGAGAGAGTGATTGGCGTCTGACTCAACCCAAACAGAAAAAGAAAGCAGATTTCTTGTACCACCGTGTTTTCAGGACATGCGCAGGGAAACCTTTGAACCAAATTCTTAGGTGCGGAGTCAGCTTTGATGTGGGGCAATGTCGTGATTTCGGACTTCGTGCACACTTGAGCAGCAAGCAGTTGGTGACTGTTGGTGTGTGCATAGTTGAAAGTATGCCCATCCCACCAGAATCCACCCAACCTCATCCCCGGCCCCTGTCCCGCTGCGCACAAAATATATTGTTTATCGCAGGGCGACCTGGCCGAAGACCACGACATGTCCCCCGAAGCCCGCAAGAACGGCGTCAGTCGAACCAGCTCGTTCCTCGCCGCTAGGAGCTTCTTCGAGGAGGGCCAGGGGCAACCGCAGGCCTCCAGCGGGGTGGGGGCCGGGTCTAATCTCCCCGCCGGGAAAAGTGCTGGCCGTGAGCATGATAAGCGGCCCCTCGCCGGACAGGTAGTAGGTGTTGATGACTGTTTTGTTATCGTTTTTGCAATTGGTAGTATTTTCGCTTCACACATACCAGGTCTCTTTCCTGCACGTAGAGGCAATGGGCACACAAAAAACTTGCTTCCCAGACAACCATCCTGCGCCATCTGCAAGTGTTTGGCCATCCTTACTGACGACGAACCAGAGCAGACACACCGGTCGCCCCGGTGATCTAGTGGCTACCCTTACAGCCTGCTAAGGGCCAGGTCATGGGTTCGAGTCCCGGCAGCGTGAGTTTTTTCTTACTAAATAAATCCTGGTCTAGGATGAAAGCGACGCGCTGCGAAGCTCGTTGTTAGTAAACCATGATCGACTTCGTAGGTTGCGAGGGAAGGGATTGCTGTACCCTTCTCGCGGTAAAAATACCTCAGGCAGGAACCGCAGGAGGGGGTCCAACCCCCCCCTCCTGTGTGACCCCGGTTGGGTCTTCTAGCTAGTAGAAGTGGAGGATAGGGGCCAGAGGGGCAGACGACAGAGTCCAATGATGGGAGAGAAAAAAAAAAAAAGACTAGCTTCCTACGCCTTGCCAAGCACGCACGGGTACTAATATCCTTGACAGAGACGCACGTGCGCAAACGTGGACGCACGCATTTTGTATTTTTTGCTTGGCTTTTCTTGTGTGTCGCGTGTGTTACTTGTTTGGTTTTTCGAGACCCCAATCGAAACTCTCTCTAGCTCTGACTTGCTCCTAAAACTTGTTCCGGAGAAGATGACTCACAGGGCTTCACCAAACAAAACCCGTCATGTTTGACACGGCGCACGCACGTCCTGATGTGTTCTGTGCCCACCTCCGCCTGCAGTCTTGCCAGTATGTGGCTTACGCAAACATTAGCACAAGTGTGGTTCCTGTTGAGAAGCACGATGACCACTAGACCACTAGTCAGCGCTGACTAGTGATCTCGTGAAACCCCGGACATTAACTTTTGTCGAGAAGCACGATGACCACTTTACCACTAGGCAGCGCCGACTGGAGGTCTAGTGGTCATCGTGCTTCTCAACAGTTCCTCCTCCTACTTGTTCGCTTGTGCTGGTGTGGTGTAATCAGGAGCTCCCGCCGGCCGAGGGCAACGATGCCGTGCCCATGAGCGAACTTCTAGCCATGGCAGAAATGGTAGCCAAGACCGAGTCTGCCGTTCAGGTATAAATCTTGTTGATTTTTCGCCATGTTTCTCACATACAATCGGAATCGGTGGTGTTTGTCTTGAATCTGTCCAAGTATCTGATTGTTTGATGCTTTTTCTTTGTGGTTCTTTGTGGTGTGGATGCCTCCTCCTCGTGGTTGTGATGGTTTCGAGTCTGGATGAAACCATGTTTGTGAAGGAAGTAGCGGCCCCATGTCCCGAGTTGTGGGTGACTGTCGGAACTGCTTGTGCATGCAGACCGATGGACGAGGCGTGAACTTGGCGCGGAAATACGTCAGCTTTCCCACCTCCAACACACTGTCGTTTTTGTTGGATATCCTCACGGCCGCGCTCCCTTCCTGACACCGGCAAAGCTGAGCTCTAGCGACTCCGCCCCCAATGACTGCGCTTTTCATTCCCCCTACCAGCCTGTGGCGCCGCTTACGGGCGCCGTCGCCGCCGCTGCCGCCGCCGCTGCCGCCGCCGCTGCCGCCGTCCCCGCCATGGGTGCCAACGTGGCTCCTGTGGCCGCGCCCGCCCCGGCTCCTCCTGCCGCCGCCGCCGCCGCCGTCGCCCGTTCTGCCGACGTAGTGCTCCCGCCTCTCGGCCCCGGGCAGGCCGCCGTGCGTGCGCTGCCGAAGCGTTCCGCGGCGAGGTCTCAGGCGCCGGTGCCTGACATCGCCGACCTCCTTGACAACGCGGAGGTGCGTGTGTGTAGCCGGGGCAGAGGTGTACTCATAGTCGTGCATGCCGTAGTCGTTAGACTATTGACCTCGCATTCCTACAAAGCCGGGACGGAGCACGCCGGGTTCTCACCGGACCAGGCTCTCACATCACCAAGCGCAAAGCGCCGTAAGGTATTCAGTGAGTCGCATGAAGGGTGCGCTGCATCCTGCTAAGGGTGTTCGGCATCTTGTGCTTACTTGATGGCGTACGGATGACAGCGGCGTTTGACTTAATTTGTTTTCTGGTGCTTTCACTTCCAGAGACAGTTGTAAGCACTGCTGTGTAGCTGCCTCAAGGGTTCTTGGCCAATTTAACACAACGTGCGATTATCCCCTTTGCGCGTAGTGAGAGTTCTCGACCCCGCACAACGTAATCTATTCGACCACTGTTCATGGTTACCGCAAAAAAGAAAAAGTGGAAAAAAACGTAACAACCTGGTTGCCAAGCTCACGATGCGATCGGCTTGTTTTACAACATTGCTGCCAAGCGACGAAAACTCAACCCCGATGGCAAACACCGAGGGGGGGGGGGCGTTGTTAGGTTTTGTCTGTGTCCGGTTAGAGGTGTGTTTGCGCCCGCTTGAAAAATTTCAGTTGTCTCTGGGCGTCTTGAGGCAAGCAGGCCTGCTTTGAACGTTCCTGTCGATGTCTGACACCTATTCTATTTTTCTTCGCTCGGAATTTGTTGCTCCCGGGGCAGTGGCAAACATATTTCGAATAACCTTGATGTTGTTGACTGCAAGGAGAAGCATTGCCAAGTCAAGAGCAGCACTGGTCGAAAGCATGCTTCAATGTTGCCCACCCAACCACCCATTCCCGCTCTTGAAAATTGGACATTTTTTCTAAATTTTGACGCTGTGGTGGATGGCTCTGATCCGAATCGAAATCGCTGCAGATGGGCGGCATGGCCCTCGACGACCTTGAGGCCAGCCTGACCTCTCTGATCATGAACTCGCCCCCGAGCATGCTCCGCCCCGGTACGACTGTGTCTCGCGGGCTTGGCCTCCTACGGGGGAACAGGGAGGGGGCGGGGGCGGGGGTTGGGGCAACCCTCCCGTCCCTCGGCCTCGCGGATCGCCTCGCTCAAGCCGAAGAAACCATTGGCGGCGACCACACGAAGGGGCTTCTCTTCCGACAGGTTCGTTCTTAGAAGTTCCGTTGTCGGTGGTATTGACTCTGGTGTTTTGGTGTTGTCGGGATTGTTTGTGGGCATTGGTGTCGAATTTGAAAAATGAGCGAATGCTTTGAATAGCTCCTCGCCCAACCTCTTTTTTTTTTCGTGAAAGTAGCGGCCGTGAGGCACGGAAAAAAAGCACGCCGACGGAGAAAAAAAAACACGTGTGGTCAACACGCTTGAATCCGTACGCTACAGCAATAAGGACCCGCAGATAGATGCGAAACGTCAAAATTGGGTCGAACCTCAATCACTTATGTATTTTCTGATTTTGGCTCCGAGGACCAGCCGAAGTCTTCCGTTTTCTTAAAAGGCGTTTCTTGTTCCGGTCTGTCGCTCCTCCTGATCCTCTAATTCTTACTTTTTCGTATATTTTCTTGCTTGGAGAAGAATACAAGAACGCACCAAACATTCAGGCCGCATTGACCAGAGAAGAACCTCGGTTTGGCCAAAACAACCACTCTCCCCCCTACAAAAAAAATGCACTCTGTTCAGCTAGCTAGCGGGGTGGGAGTACGGAGGCAGGGACAGCAGTGGGACGTTTCTTATTGGAACTGCTCCTCCAGCTACCCCTTGTTTCTTATATAGTGGCGGTTTTGCACCATCATGTTTCTTACTGGGACGTTTCCTATGTCGAGGCCGAGATTGAGCTGTGTTTCTTAGCCCTATTTTTTTAGTTTTCGTAGTAATTTTAATAATCTGAGCCTCGTTTCTGGGAAGATTTTTTCTTTACTTCGGGCCCGTGCTGTGCAGCGCATGCAATACAGGTCTGATCGTAGCAAACGCTGCGTTCACAGCTTTTTCATGACCTTCGGCAATATTTCCAAACACGGTGAGATTCCTCGAATCGCACTCACGTCCTAGTGCAGCGTCAAGCAAGATGCCGTGCAGGAGTTTTGGTAGGATGGGTGAGTCATGGTTCTTGGTCACTTGGCCATACTCCTCCATAACTTGGGGGAATAGTGGAGGTTTGTGGTCGTGCAGGAAGTCATTTGCCGATCCAACATATTCTCGAGGGTTTTCTCGAGGGAATCCTGTGCTAGCTAGCTAGTGTGTCCTGGTTCCGCAAGTAAGTCTTGTTTGCGCTTATCGTTTGTAACAACGTTTGTGTACCACACAGAAACACTAAATTATAATAGTTGCTTTGACTACTCCACCAAATAAATGTGGTTTCGAAGGGTGGTTGCACCTGTAGGTGCTTGCCTGGTCCCTAGAAAACATCATCCGTCCTTGGTGTCCTCCGTTGATTTGACAGACTAATTATCGCGATGAGTGTCTAGATCTCTGGGGTAGGGCGTCTACCAAACAAACCCGTGCGATGGGAGGGATGAGGTTAGTTTTTTTTCCCGCCCATTCTCTCTTTCCGAGTTGTAAACCGTTCTCTCTCAACGTATTCAATTCACGTGGTATGTATCCAAGCGTTGTATTGTCTGGTCCTCCAGTGCACTGGTGTACTGTGGTAGTTCTGGTTGTCGCATACTGTACCCGAGTTCTTTCTACTGCGTCATCCTTCGGTACACCCACCTCTTAGGTCACCTTCCATCTCATTTTTTCGCCCACTGCTGTTGGTGATTTTCGACTTGCGTCACCCCCGGGTGGCATGCGCCTAGCTACCGAGGAGGGGAACCTCGTGTACGAATATTTGGGGTCGCATCGCCTAGGCCCGGGTATGGTTTCACATCACACCCCTGGTGTTCACGTGGTATACACCCTCCTCGTGTCCTCCCTACGTTGCCATGCATCCCCTTCTCTTTGTATTCTCTTGTACATCATATGGTCACTCTCTGCCGCTTGTTTTGACGTGAGGTACACGCTACCCATCGACGAGTCAGCGAACTTTCTCCCTCCTGTTTTGCTGGTCCTCCCGTGGTGATTGTAGGGACCCGACGGTGTCGCGGTTGGGATCGATGGGGGAGAGGTACCCCGTCCGTCCGCGGCAGTAACGTCCTTGCCTGCAAGTACCACAATGCCGACCAACTCATTGAGCGGCGGCGGCGAACTTGACGACGAAAAGGCGGAATCCGTGTCGGATCTCGTCATGCGCGCTGGTACCCAGAGTGTGAAGAAAATGTCTTCGGAGGTAGGGTATTCTCGATCATTAACATGTACTTCTCCTGTATTCTGGTGTTTTTGAGAGTATCAGATACCAGTCCTTTTGGTCTAATAATGATGGTGGTGGGGGTGGTGGTGGTTGTTTTGATGTGTTTGGTTGAAGGCGGCGGTTCTAAACGGTTGTCCATGCTGAGCGTGTTTCGGCGGTTTGTGCGCATGGTGCATTATTCGTGATTCGTTCGTGAGAGTTGTTATCGAGCGCGACACATCGGTTCGAAGCATGCTTTTCCTCTGGTGCTGCGGTCTTCACTCTCGTCTACTACCTTCTCTCGTATCGCCCGCTCTCTTTCTCTCCCTCACGCTCTCTCCACCGCTTGTTGTCGTTCTTTCCTGGCCTTTCTCCCATATCTTTGTCCACTATATGTACGATATCGCTCGATCGTCCGTGGCGTTCAACCGGATTTTGTCCACTAATAGGAGAGCCCTAAGAAGCCCATCGCCGCCGGGACCGCGGCAAGCACCGATGACGAGGCCAAGGCTAGGTGAGCAAGGGAACAGAGGAGCAAGGCGGTTTGGGCAACCCCCATATCTGTCGCTGCATTTTTTGTGTCTCACATGCGTGCGCCTATGTGTTCCTCCCGCGTCGGCGCTCATCTCTCCCCATGTTCTGTCCACAGAACAGTCAAGATGGCATTGCAAAAAATCAAAACACCCCCCAACAGACGTCTCTGACTATTTGGTAAACCGCCAATCATTTGTCCGATCAAGAGGTGATTCTGGGGCAAGCAGGGTCGCGGGGTGAAAAAACAACAATTCCGCTAGGCCTTCGCTGTCCCCGCATCATCAAAAGAGGCACCCTGTTTTCTGCCCCAACGTTCCATGACAAATTGCAGACGCGGGGCAAGCGACGCCGCGCAATCGGAGGAGTCCATGACGTTCGACCGATTGGACTGGGATGTCGGTGGCGGAATTTTTGCAGGAGGCAGAGGGCGCATTTTATCCTCTCCCTTCAGAGCGGAGAACAGCGGAGTGCGTTCAAGCATTGATCAAAGCAAGCACTCATGCTTATCCCTCTGCGGAAGGCTTCCTGAGACTGCAAGTGAAGTGACATTTGACAGCCGCCATCTTCTGACCCCAGGAGCCCTCGCCAAAATTGGCCCTGTGTCTCCCCCCTTTGGATCCGGCGAAAGTCCCAGCGCAGCAGTGCCGGATGAAAACGGTCAGCACGCCACCTTTGAGAAATCGGCGGACTCTTCTGGCAGTGCACCGGAGTTCCTACGGTCAGGAACAGTCCCCCCTCCGGTCACAATGAGTCCCCTGGTCCCAGCGCGATCGTGGCGGCGTCCTCAAGTCAAGGAAGCTGCGAGGCGCGCACCCACCAGGCCCCTCAAGGAGGAGAATAAAACTCAAGCCGAAACGGGGGGTCTCCCTCGCCCCAGGATGGTTCCCGACCGCAAGAACCTGTTCAACTGCAGGAACTGCGGAGCCGATACCCGCATTCCACCGCCGGATTTGGCAAACGGGAGCCGCGCACAGTGCTGGTTGTGCGGTAAGGAAGTAGCTTGTAGCCGCCAGACCCGACGGTGTCAGTCGGCGGCTTCCTCGTGTGTTTCGACCAGCAGGTACTTCTCAGTCAAACTAGTCTCCTCATGCTCGGTATCGGGGGTTGTGGTGTCGACACCCAAAACTATTCATGCGAGCATAAATATGGAGTGGGAAGAGCTGGTACGCGAGTGTTCGAAGCTGGTGGGAGCCAGGTGTCGAAATCAATCGGCCGAGCTGACTTCTTTCTTGGGAGTTTACTTCCTTTCCCAAGCCTCTCAGTCATCCGTTTACTGGGACGAGGCGAAAATGTTGGGAAACCCAGAAAGAAGGACGTTTATTGCACTCAAGGAATGGGGCGGGGTATCAAGCGTAGAGGAGTTTCTCGTGAAGAACACTGTCTCAACATTCTTTGAAACAGCCCTGTACAGTCCCAGGGACGTGCGAGAAGCTGAGCTTGTTGCTGCTTCTTGGGGTTACAGCCGGGTTGCTAGGGTAACACACTCGGAGCTGGTAGGTATGAGTGCAGAACTGGTTTCTTCGGCGATCGGCGAGGACGCATCTTTGTCGTCCAGGCCGTGCCTAGTAGCTCTGGGAAACTTATCGCGTCTGCTTAACACAGGCAGTGTCGCTTTGGTCTCGAGATCTGCTGGCGACTGGGGAGATCTCACATGCCACGGTAACGGTCCAAAGGGTCACGAACTTCTTTCTGCCTTGTTGTTCATGGTAGAGAAAGAGATGGTTGGGTCTGCTCTGGTTCTTGTAGTCACTGCGATACCGAATGGCGGAAGGCAGGAGGCTGGCGCTATGCTGACGGCAGGTGTCTTCGACAAGCAAACCGTCACGGCAGGCGACATCCAGCGAGTGGTGAAGGATCTTACGCTGGTCGAGCATTGGGGACCAATCGTGGAGGGATCGCCGTCCTTAGCGACAATCGCGAATCTTGCGAAGGGTAGCGACACGAAGTGGAGGCCGGCTCGCCCTGGCTACCACGAGGCTGTCGCCAGCTGGATCGTTGAGTCAAGCATGTTGCGGATGTTCGTAGGCTTCTTCTGCTTGTCGGGAACAGCTCTGTATGCGTATACGTACGACAAAGGGACGTCTCACACACTAGCGGCCCTCCTCCTCTTGGACTTGCTAAAAAGAGACCTCGGGGTCCCGCTATGGGTGTACGCAACCGGCGATGATGTTCGACTTTCGAGGGCACTGGCGGCCGCTCCTGGCTGCCACTGGCTTATGGTGGTCAGCATGGGATCTGTAGAAGTAGTGTATTCAGCAGCCTTCGAATACGCGGGACTTTTCGCAATAGCCGTGTCGTCATTCTGGAGTTCCCTCCTCCTGCTGAACTTGATCAAAGTTGTCGCCCTGGATAGAGCTTGCAGGCGTTCAGGTGTGTCCCGCCGGAATATTCGGCAGAGAGATCACGGACTATGGAAAGCAGTCTTCGGAAAAGGAATTTACACGGCGAAATCTCTCTTCGTCGACGCATGTTGCGGAGATGGCAGGCTGCTCTCGGTGTCTTGGTTGAAGTTCGCTGAAGGGGGCCTCTGGTTGACAAGAAACACCGTCATTGGGCACACGGAGAAGTGGCCGCCGCCGGTTGCCGTTCGTAAGGCGCAGGTAGTCGGAACAATCAGCGACTAACGCTTCGTGGAGCACTTGCGTTCGTTGAGTTTTACCTGATGCGGTTCTGGAAGATTTGATGATGCGGCGGCAGGAGCAGCAGCTCCACGTAGGGAGGGGAGGACCACGTGGAAGGACAGTTGTACAGGGTAATGTTTGAAATAAGGAACATAAGCGGGGGCAATTAAAGGGGCTGGAAGCGTTGATAACTTGTCGAAATTGGCTTGGAGCCACAGAGTCCTGGATCCGCTACTACTGCCGAGGATCTGTTAGGTCTTGTGGTCCTCGGAAATGACACCATGTTACGGGTCTTCTTGTGTGTCTGCTTTGGGATCTTCATACCGTTGTGGACAGGTTCACACTCGTGCGATGATATGACCATGAGGAGAAAGGAATGGAGCGAGAACAGAGAGAAGAGCACACTCATGCGACTCCTACAAAGCAGACCAAACTGACCGTACCGGGTTCGATGCTGGTGTTCTCCCGACGTATTTGACATGGCCTAGACTAACTAGTAGGCGGCTTGGTCAGGAATTGCTCTTGATTTACTGGTCTCAGATCACTTAGGTCATCAACCTCAGGCAGTGCCAGCATCGCATAGTCTAATAATAACCACAGTAGTCGTTGAAGGGGATGTGCTCAATGAACTCGTTCTTATTCCTTCGTTGATGGTGGCCTTGCGACTCACTCATGATCGAGTGAGAGGAAGGTAGGTGTGGGTGGAATAAGTGTGGCACCATTCCCGGGTATGTAGGAGCTCCGCATCCATCCTCGATACTCTGGTTGTGGGATTCGACAATGGTCAAGTTCCGAGTACACTGGGGATCCCCGAATAAGGCGGTGGTGGTGGTGGGCAGACGCCTCACTCAAATGTATAGAGCAACAATTTGATTTCTCCGTTTATGCCAGCCAATCTCGCCCGCCTTGTAAAAAGGGTGAGGACCGCCTTACTTGTTGAATTTCTACGAGATTCTCCAGGGTGGGCTTAATGTAACAACAGCGTGTTGTGGGATTTGACTGGAGGAAATAATTAAAAGTTCTTGTAGTATTTACAAAGTTCATGTGGCGGGAGATTTAACTACAACTCCCGATTGAAGGAAAGCGGGGGACAGGACCTTGTTGTAGCCAGCCCCATTCAACGAGAGCTGGTCCGTCCCCACCTCCTGATCAGTCTCTGCCCCAGACGGTCGATTGTGGCTCCGATAGAGAGGGTACCTTGCAATATATTGGGTTCGATATGAGAGGGTCGAAATCGGTTGTCACGGACTCGACCAGCTAGTGGATAACGACAAAAAAATGATAAATTCTATCAGGTCAGTTCATCACTCACGGGTCTTCCAGATTTCACAGCGGGTGGAAATCCCTTACTTGTACTGACCCCCAATTGTGAAAGAGCTTTTGTCCTTGACTCTTTTTCTCGTGAAGAGAGATGAACTCATTTTTGTTTTCGCAAGAAAAAAAAAGAAAGCATCGTATATACGAAGTACTTCAATGAATGCCGCTGCCACCGCCGCCACCGCTCTCTCAAACCCATCGCTTCATGTCCAATGAAAACAAAGTGATGAACGAACACAAAAAAAAAGCATGACCGAACGGGAAAACTTGTAGACAACTACTGCAGAATAGTTGTCAAGCAGTTGTAGACTATAAGCCAAGACAAGAAAAAAAAAACGAAGAGGAGCGAAAAACAAACGAAACCACCGGACGGAGCAGACCGACCAATTCGAAGCCATACGTGCTACAACAAACCCCCGCTATCACGTAAACATCAAGCAAGTCGTTCGTTTCCTACCCACACCGTTACCGGAAGACGCTTGTGACGACGAACCGTTATTTTTCAGACCAAGACGCCTCCTTCCTGCCTACCGGTAAACGATAACTTGGTTGCTCTTTTCTCAAAAAGATACACACTTCATGTTTGCGCAGCGCTGCCACGCATGGTGGATGGTCTGCCACCTCAAGAAGAGCACAAAACTCAGAATAAAATCAAACAGCAGATGATGGGACGGAAGCACCACAGACATGCAAACCTGCTTGCAATATGTAGGGATGTATGTCCCGTGCACCCCACAAGGGAGGGTTTTGGAGGGGAGGTCATCACACATGACCACCGCTCAAGAACAGCCGAAGGGACAGGAGACAACAGATCTCGGAGGAAAAAGAGCGAAAGACCCAGGGCAAGCTGCTTCATAGCCGTGTTAGTCACTGCTACTGTTGTGGTCTGGTTTCCAAAAGTAAGCACTGTCAACTACAACCAAAACAAACCCTGACACTTGAACGGGTGAAAAATAACGCCACAAACAAAACTATCGCAGCCCTAACCGCATGCTCACTAGGAGGGAGAGGGAGACAGCAGCCTGCTTCTGCATGCATGAGTTGACTACAGTGAGGGCGCTATCTTGGGTGTATTAGATGACACACCGAACGAACCACCGCGGGAAGCGGTCCGGACGACTCCCGAGTGTAGAAAAAAAAAGGGTCCGGGAGAGCGCAAATCAAAGGGTGTTATGGCTACTCTTGCAGTTGCTAAAACAGCTCGTTGTACCAAATCACGACGGCGTTGCTAAAGTACGTTATGCCCCCCAAGATAAACCTATCCCCTTCGACTTTACGTTGAGAGTGAGCCCCCGACTCCGCTGCGTACATGAGGGAAACAATCCCGTAAAATATAAAATGTGCACAAATAGACAGTACAACCTGCATGCCGTTGAGTCTCACGATGAGAATAAGCAAGAAAGAATGACAACATGGAACTCTATCAACGTGTGCCAAAAAAACAAAAACAATACCTAGAGAGAGCGCAGCAACGCCACAGGAGGAGATAAAAGAAGGCACAACATGTACGTACCACACGGCCATGATTCGCACGACGGCTCACTTCGAGAAAATAAATATACACCCCGAACGCACAACCCCAACACAGATCAAAAGCAGGGTGGCTGCTCAATCTTCTCGATTACACGGCTGAATGCATCTGCCCGTTGCCCTGTGTAGAGCAGTACCTCACCCAACATCGACACCGATATGAGCCAGTCCACCACCAACATCAAGCAGCGGGTGTTGCCGGAGAGGGCAAAATCCGTAAAGGGCGCTGACTCGAAGAATCTGCAAACAACGTTAACCTGGACTCACAATCCAACACTGGTACGGCTACAACAAGAGCAGTCCAACGTATCACAAAACACCGTGGAGGTCTGAGTAAGGCCAACCGGTGATCTGTTAGCACAAATTGTATTGTGTGTGTGTCTGCAGCAGGGATGGCAACTATTTGCCGGAACAGAACACGATAATCTGTCTGCCGGACTCGTGCTTCAGAGCCCTAGATTAGTAAAGAACGCCCCCCGCCGGTGTTCATAATAAACCATGCATCGAAACGTCCAGGCATAAAACAACCACAAAGCGTGTTGGTACACTGGCAATGCCGAGGTAAGCTTCACACCTCCCATACGGGCGGGGGAAAGGACGAGTCGGCTTTCTTTTGCGCTTGAAAACGATACCAAGCCTGGCTGGGGAGGATTCACAAAAACATAAAACGAGCTTACGCACACGAAATAACAAATATCCCAAAACAATAAGTCGACAACAACAAGGGAAGCCTTTGAGCTGACCCACACTGGCGCGTAAATGTTGACAAGTAATTCTTGGGCGGCGGCGGTGTCCATGTAGTAGCACGCCACAAATCATAGCACCCCCAAGTCCCGTGGATCCACCTCTCCTATACTTTTCCCCGGGCAAGCAGTTGTATACATGCTCTCGCAAGGCACACCCCGGAAATCGAATTTCTAGGCGTTGCCGGCGGCCCGCCGCCTTTCCTTGGCCCTCTCGGCCCTCTCTTTCTTCGCGCGCGGGTCGTTGCTAAACCTGGTCGAGGACGTCGTTGTCTTTGCCGCCACCGCCGCAGGCTCGGCTGCTGGGCGACTTCGGCTTGGGCTCCTCCGTTTGCTGCTCTCGTCTGCTGGCTCCACCGTGCCTCCCCCGGAGCCCTCGCTGTGCTTACCGCCACGGTCGTCGGCCTTCTTGCTGCGCCGCCCCTCCTGCTCTTGGAAGGGCGGCGGTGGCGGCGGCGGTGCCTCCGCCTGCCGCCGTTCCTTGTCTTCGCGGGAGCGGCGCCGGCGACGCTCGGCCTCCGTCTCGCGGTGCTCAGGCACGCCCCCGTCTCCCGCTGGAGTGCTCCTGCCGCGAGCGCCGGTGGGGCCCTCGGCTCTGCGTTGTCTGCCGCGCTCTCGGCCCCCGCTTTCCTTGTAGCTCGGTGGTTGCAGCTGTTTCGATGCAGCTGTGGTATTGTTGCTGGCCTTCTTCTTCTTGTCCCGGTGACGGTCGTCCCTGCGGGAGGAGCAGGGCTCGCGCTCGGCGGTGTTGCCCTTGGACCTGCCGCTGCTGCCCACGCTTCGCGCACGCTCTCGCTCGGCACTTCGCTTCCGCTCCTCTTCCACCCGGCGCCGCTCGCGTTCCTGCTGGCGTCGTTGCCGCTCTTCTGCTTGCTCTCGCTCCAGCGCTTTGGCTGCCCTCCTGCTCTCTTCTGCCCGCTCTTCTTCTAGAGCTCGGGCCCTCTCGGCCCACTTGCGCTCGGCTCTCTCCTTCTCCTCTAGAGCTCGGGCTCTCTCGACCCACTTGCGCTCGGCTCTCTCCTTCTCGACTCTCTCCTCCTCCTCTTTTAGTGCCCGGGCCCTCCTCCTCTCTTCCGCTTGCTCTTCCTTCAGCGCCCGGGATCTCTCCGCCCTCTTCCTCTCCCTCTCCTCCTCTTGCTGTCGCCGCGACGCCTTGTCGGGTCGCGCCCTCTCCCCTTCCAACGCCGCATTCGGAAGACCCGCCGCCTTGCTCCTGCTTCGGCTCCGCCCGCCGCCGTTTTCATCGAGACCCCGGCCTCTCGATTTGTCCCGCCCTCCCTCCGACGGTTCTGCGCCAGACCGAGGAACGTTCTTCGGAACATTCCGAGTCAGGGGTTCGGGGGGCTCCGCCCCAGCCACCCTGTCGAGTAACGACGGGTCGCACGTACCGAACTCATCGGGTCCAGAGTCCTCGTCCGTGGGGGCGACGCGACTGGGCCTTCCCCTCCCCGACAACCGCGAGGACTTCGATGACGATTCCCACGGCACCCCAAGGCTGCCGTCGATCGGGGCCGAGCCGGAGCCATTGGTTTTACCGCTGCTGCCGCTGCTACCCCCGCCGCCGCGACGGTGGGATGATAATTTGCTGCCCCTGCGCTTGCGGGGCGATCTGGACCTTGACCTGGACTTGGACCTGGGCTTGGACAGGATTTTAGATCTTTGGGCGGCCGGCGGCGGCGATGGCGACACGGGGAGATCGCCGAGCGGAATCTCTTCCGTTCCCATCGTTTCGACGGCCTGCATCGAGAGCGAGTAGCCAGCCTCGTCGTGTTCCGCGCCCTCTTCCATCCTGGCGAACTTGTTACTGTTCCTGCTCTTGCTCTTCTCGCTCAGCATGCTGCCCGTGGTCTTGATGGCCTGCACCACGGCGTTCCCTCCCCCGTGGCCGCGGCCGCCGCTGTCGCCGCCGCCGCCGCCGCCGCCGCCCTCGGTGTCCATCTCCTCGTACCCCGTCCTCCGGAGGTAGGCGTTCAGCTCCCGGCTGCCGCTCCACCGCGGGTTCTTCGTGCCGCTCACGGACACGCCGACGCGGGGGTCAGACGGCCAGGACGCGTCGCTGGGGGGCTGGTACGCCGCGGCGCCCGGCAGCTCACCGTCGAAGTCATCGGGGGGTTCCGCGGCACGACCACGAGCGTCCGCGCTTCTTTCCCTCCTCGCCGTAGGCCTGGGAGCCGCCCGGGATGGCTTCTTCTTGGCGGCGAGGGTCTCCACACCGGCGGCGGCGGCGGTGGTTTGGAGGCCCCGCTCCCGGTCGTCCGCGGGGAATGCGGGCGGGGTGACGGAGGCGTCCTTGCCGGATGGGGGCGACACGTCGGGGGACGTGTCCCCCTCCTCCTTGTAGTTGTTTTGGGTGACGGCGGCCGCGCCGAAGTGCTTGTACGACAACGCCAACTGGTTCTGTGTGTGTGCAACACGGCAAGTCATGGGGGGTTCGTCCGCAATAATGCGAGGGTAGGGGGGGTGGGGGCATGTAGTCAGGAAACCAGCAGCTTTCGCAAGGAAATTAAGCTCGGGTTTAGTAGGGGGTACGGAGGTTCGGTTGGAGGGTTTGGGTCGTAGGGGGTATACCGTAGCCCCCCTCTCGATGTCACATGCACATATAATATTAGTAACTATACCCTCGCGAAGGCGGTCCCGGGGAAGAAAACAAAAACCTATCGCTCGGCCTCACGTGTACATAAATCGCTGTTCTTGGCACAACGACACAGGGAACAATTTGGTGGCCTTACGAAATCAACAGGCAACAGCAAACATCTACATTTCACGTGGTGAGCATCCACTCACGGTCTTTCGGATGTCCCGGCAGCAGCAAAGGGCCGTGATCAAGCCGAGGCCGATCAGACCGCCGAGGCTAGCACAGAGTAGCGTACCCCCTTCCCAGTAAAACGCCTCCGCTTTTTCCACGATAGACTCGTCGGACGCGGTGCCCGTCTCGACGCCTGCTTGGCAGGTTACCACCAGGGCATCCGCCACGCAGCAAGGGCAATCGAGCCTACGCGATGCCATGCCATGCCGTTCGGGGAGTGGGGGTGGGGTGGGGGGGGGGG